TTTAAATTTTTTATTAAAATTAGAATAAACTTTTGATAATATAGTAATTATACCATAATGAGCATACTCATATCTAAATGTTCAATTAATGGTGATATCCACCGTGTCATTAGGCAACAAATTAATGTCAAGACACAAGGATACGACCTAACAGAGGTTATAATTCAACAAACAACAGTCGACAGCGAAAGTCTACATGCTATCCTTAGTCCATGTTATTCATATGCTATAAACAAGAAAGCGGCAATAGAACAACTTCAGGTACATTATTATGATTTATGACGATTAAATTCAAAACTTTTGATAACAATAATAGTTTTAGGGGTTGTTCACCAAACACTTACTGAGTAAGCGCTTATTAGCAAGAGAAATTACTCTCTGTTACCTTATCATGTAACATTTTCGGTCATCAAAATGACTTGTTGGTAAGCGGCTTATACCATGCAAGCACTTATCAGGTAATAGTTTTTTTCTTCACTTACTGAGTATGTCTTTTACCTGGTAACATTCTTGATCATTGTCATGCTCAATTGCTAAGATAATTGATTTCAATAAGCGTTTACTTGGTGACTGTAACATTTTTAATTCATTTGACATGAATTTATTTTATATATTAATTGGAGTTATATTTTAATGGAATTATTTGAAGATAGGTGTTATATGGTGGTAGGATGCATGATCATTGCCTTTTGTTTAAAAAATATTGGTGTGTAGGTGGAATTTATAAAAATATGAATGAATAAGGGGGTAGAAATAAAAATATAGGTAGGCGTGTGTGTGACTTATTTGGAATAAAAACAAAAAAGATGGGTAAAATAAGTAAATTCTTAATAAAGGGTTGTCTGTCGGTTAGGACGTTGAGTTTTTTTCTACTTTTTTCTTTATCGGGTGTGTTATTTGTTTTTACAGCATCTTTAAAGTCATGTTATGTATATATATATATATATATATCTATACTATATTATAAAACATTTGTTTAAAACTCTTAAAAACACTTAAACTCTTAAAACTCTTAAACCCGTTCATCCCTAAACAATTTCATCCATATCCGATTTCATCCTATAACTGAATTCGTGTAACTAACTGCAGATAAACACAATCAAATACAGGATAAACATCTCATTTTAAATATAAAAAATCTAAAATATAATTAGGATAA